CCATTTACTATTTCTAAACTCCTCCATTGACACTGAATCCTGATGTCCTATTCTAGCTAAACATCGATAATATTTAATAACAAAATTTTCTAATCCTCCTTTCCAAATCACTGTTTCGGATTTACATCCAGTTTCCTTGTGTTATACCCATATCTATATGTACGTTGTTATCCTTATCCCTGTAACTTTGAACAGACACTAAATGAATGGTTGTAAATCAAGGACCACCTGTGGAAGAGCTGAGTGATGGGAATCCTTAGCTGTACTCCTCAACTTTTCCAATTCATTCCACTTGGTTTTCTATTTTATTTGTTCCTGGTTTTTGATACTGATTGATGCGTTCCAGAATTTCGCCTTGTACTTATCAGACTCAGTATTTCCACACCGTAATTTATTGTTTTGCAGAAATTCTCCACATTGGGGTAGTGAGAGGTTGGTGTACAAGGTCCTTCTTGACGACTCTGTTTAACTCTGTCCTTTCTGAGACTTTCTTGGCAGGTGGTGGTCCACTCCCTAAACAATTCACTGGGAAAGAGAGGGCTGGACTGATCAATTGAATGTCTTTTAATTATAGTAGTAATGGCAGATTTGGAAAGGACCTTGGAGATCTTCTCGTGACTAGTCTAATACCCTGCTCAGACAGGAGACCCTATACCATTTCAGACAAATGGCTGTCCAATCTCTTCTTAAAAACCTCCAGTGATGGAGCATTCACAAATTCTGGAAACAAGCTGTTCCACTTGTTTAATTGTTCTCGATGTTAGGAAATTTCTCCTTAGCTCTAGGCTGCTTCTCTCCTTGATTAGTTTCCATTTATTGTTTCTTGTCCTGCCTTCAGGTGTTTTGGACCCCCTCTTCTCTTTGGCAGCCCCTTAGATTTTGGAATACTGCTATCATGTCTCCCCTAATCCTTCTTTTCATTAAACTAGGCATACCCAGTTCCAGCAACCATTCATGCTTTAGCCTTCAGCCTTCCAACTATCTTTCTCGTACTTCTCTGCACGCTTTCTAGAGTCTCAACAACTTTTTTAATCCTGCCACAGCCCAAACAGTCTCACGGCAACTTAAAGAAAACAAATAATGCAATTTAAATATCCATGGTACTATCTCAATGGCTGACCTTTACAACCAAAAGAAACAACAACAACAATTGCAATATGCATCCTCAGTGCAAACTACAAGGATGCCATAAAAGTGTAAAATAAAAATGCAGATGTCAAACCCAGATCATTGGAAGGTTGTCTGAAACATATTGGGCAGTTTTCAAAAAACGTTGATTTCTTTCCATTGTTGCTATCTCTCCTATTCTCCCTGAATGTGGTGACACAGTGGTTAGAATGTAATATTTCAGGCTAACTCTGACCTCAGCCTGCAGTTTCAATCCTGATGGGCTCAAGATTAACTCAGCCTTCCATCCTTCTGAGATCATTACAGTGAGGAGCCAGATTGTTGGGGGCAATAAACTGACATTGTAAGCATATTGTAAACACTATAGAGAGTGTTGCAAAGCACTATGGGGAGGCATATATGTCTAAGTGCTATTGCTATTTCTCCTAATGTGAACATGCTGGTTCTTGTTTTATGCTCTAGCCATGTTGTATAAAATAAATACTACTTAAGACTATATATATATTAGATTTGGCTAAGATGTCTGCCTAGTATGTAATATAGCCCAGGTTCAAATCCCAGTAAGGGTATGGCTAGCTGATGAGAGCTAAATAGAAATCTAATAGATACCTTTCACCCTGGCTTCGCTGATAATGGATAAGAGCCTGTGGCCTAATGGCTAAGATGTCTGCCTAGTATGTAATATAGCCCAAGTTCAAATCCCAGTAAGGGTATGGCTAGCTGATGAGAGCTAAATAGCTTGAAAAAAATTTTTTCTAGTCCCCCCCCCCCCCCTCTCTCT